TGCATAACCAAGGCAACCGTGACATGTAGTGGCTCGGTCTTTTGTAAGTATATTGTCAAGAAGTTATATTGTGGAGAATTTTGAGAGTTGGCGATATTTAGCTCAAACGCAGAATAGAAAAAGTATTTGCACTCGGAAATCCGAATACAAGATGCCAAGAACCATTTTTTTCGTGAATTAACTGTGTGTTATTAAGTAATTAATCCAAAACGATTATCATCTAAAGAGACCCATGGCCAACTTAGAGCAGGGGTGGAGAGAGTTGGGGTACCCACCACCTCTCGAAATGTAATTCTGGATTTTGTTATCAAATGTCTCCAAAACCAAATATCAAATCACAGTCTACTGTGTTTTTGCATGTTTGCTAAACAACATACAGTCCTTTGACCAAACGTTGTCGTTTGATCGGCTTCATCCCTACGCGCCTAGACCGAAAAGGATCATGGGGATAATTAATTCACAGTTACTAGCTGCCGCATATGTTATCTAACACGTCTTGAGCAAGTTGTACTGGACTGGAAATACTAAAGTTTTGGCTCTTATCCCCAAAGTAACCTATTTCGAAGCTACTATCTGTAGCCGGTGATAACTCGTCTGAACAGCGCTCAAGCAGATAATCTTTTAGCGCCTGTACGTTGTCGATATTTGAGACTATCCTTGATGGAATATGATGTGAAACGGCTCTGGTTTTCCTTGCGTAAATCGCGAAGGCAAATGTGCATTTTGCTCTCCATTGTGCGATTGTCACCGACTGATAGAGAACAATTAAATATTCATGTTAATTTACCCGTTATCCTTTTCGGTCTAGGCACGTAGGGATGATCCGATCAACGACAACGTTTAGTCAAAGGACTGTATGTGTGTATGAATAGTCTCCACGGACACCCAGTATCGAGCATTTCAACAGGTCATTGAGGGTGAAGGGGGTAATTACCTTATCGATAGCATAGTATCTCTCTTCACAGACCCACCGCTAGTTTTCCTTGAGCTCGTTCCGTATGGAGATCTTCTGGGTTACCTACGTAAAAGTAGAGGAGAAGACGATGATTACTACAGCGGTAAAGACTTGAAGGCTCCTAAAACACCCACTCCACAGCATCTGTTTAGCTTTGCTCATGATGTGGCGAAAGGAATGGCTTTCTTAGCTGAAAATAAGGTGACTATCGGTGACTATAGAACCAATAGAAACAAGGAAAAAGGCGAGGGGGGAGATAAGAGAATTAGAATTAAAGGAAAGAAGAAAAGATTGAAATCTGAGAGAAGCGAAAATGAAGTTTGTACAAGAAAGCAGAGCTTGAGGAAAAGGCAGAAACAAACGGCTAAACAAGCACAAGCCAGAATAACATAGAATAATAATTAGAAAGATAGAACGTCGGACGAATGGACAGACAGACAAGCCTACAGACAGATAGAAAGACATAGGGAGGACAGACAGACAGAGCATCGAGAACAAATAAAAACATTTAAAAGTACCAGCATGCACCACGCACCATTTCTATCATGTTGGCCGCCATAAATAAACTCCCCAATTAACTTGTTATCTCTCAGATTGTCCATCGTGATCTTGCTGCGAGGAACGTTCTCATCGGTGACAGGCTGAGATGTAAGATCACAGACTTTGGGATGGCAAGAAGTCTTCACGATGAAGACATTTACACCAAGAAATCAAAYGTCAGTACTAGTAAGACAAAGAAAGAATCCCATTTCAACACTATTTACTAACTGACATATTCTRATCTATTTTAGGGATTGTTTCCTGTGAAGTGGATGGCAGTTGAGTCGTTATTGTTCCAGAAATACACAACTTACAGCGATGTGTGAGTGGTGACAAAACTCTCGATTACCCACACACATATCGATCACTAATTTATTTCTTGTTCATATTCGTATT